CGTCACAATAGTATAGAAAACAGAAAGCACTTTGTCAGTTCCTGAGGAGTGGCTCGACTTAGGTCTTAAATATGTAATAATGGCCGATCCAAAGAATAAGACCACAACTGCAAGGTGAGAGGAACAGGTGGAGAAGGCTTTGGACTGACTTGTGGCCGAAGGCAGTTTCAGGATCTTTGAGATGATTTTGCTGTAGGAGATGAGGATTAACAGAAATGGAACAGAAACAAACAACACAGCAACTATGTAGACCATCAACTGATTTATGAAGGTTTCCCCACAAGCCAGCTTGAGTATTGGAGGGATGTCGCAGAAGAAATGGTTGATTTGGTTGGAACCACAGAAAGGCAGAGAGAAAATCTGGAATGTCTGCCCTATCTGGACAGGTACACCACCGATCCAGGATCCAGCGACCAACTTGGTGCAGACGTTGTGGTTCATGACTAGAGCATAGTGCAGAGGCTTACAGATGGCCACATAGCGGTCATAGGACATCACTGCCAGGAGAAAACACTCTGTGGCTCCCAATATAAGAACCCAGCACATTTGTGCAGCACAAGCAGCCAAAGAGATGGCTCTTTGTTGGGTCGCAAGGTTCATGAGCATCCTAGGTAGAACCACAGAAACATAACAGATTTCCAAGAAAGAAAAGTTGCCAAGGAAAAAGTACATGGGGGTCTGAAGAGAAGGATCCACTCTGGTTACTAGTAATATTGTGCCATTTCCTAACAATACAATGGCGTAGCTGACAAAGAACAAGCCAAACAGGAACCACTGGAGGTGAGGAACTTCGGCGAATCCCAGCAGAACAAATTCCATCCATTCAGTGAGGTTTTCTTCTGATGAATTTTCTGGATTTTTCATCTGTGAAAAGGACAAATTCAGTATATGTTTTTCAGGTTTCTGGTTATACAGACACTGGTCTCCAGCAGAATAGGATCATCCAGGTTGATTTTTTAATGACTGCAATTCTTTCTACTACAAGGACTTTACTAAATGCAACACATTTTGCTCTGTTAGCTACTTTGGATTGCCTCTAACTTCCTTTAGA